GCTGTAGCCAAAAGAATTTCATAAGTATATATATATATATATTATTTTTTATATAGTATCTATCCTGGCCTCGGGCCGGAAAGTCCTCTGATCCAATGGCGAGGCACCGTGGGCCGCTGGTGCCCAAGGCTTTGGTCGCAGGCGAGCACGGCGCGGACCCAGCGCTCCTTGGCTCTGCTACTCCGTCTCACCCGGACTCTCCGCACACTCCTCATGTCTAGAGTTCGAGATTTAATCAATTTCTGGGCTTTGCTAGTTCGCAGCTTATTTACGACTCACCACTGAAAACCCGACCTACACATGCCACATGCCAATGGATTGGTTTGGACGTTGTAGTCGGCCAAGACCTTTACACTAAGATCGGGTCGCCATTTCGTCCGCAAGGGGCTACACGCTCATTGCTGCCGGAGGCGCCGGCATTCTTCGCACACCGTCCCGAGCGCCCAGAACCGCACCAACGACACAGGCCGTTGTGCCTGGGGGAAGTGTGCAATGAGCTACTGAAGCCGAGGCGTCTCCTACAAGGCTACAGGCCCTGGCTTGAGTCTCCACCACCAGCGAGAGTGGCGCGCATGGCATCCTGCGCATTGATCACAGTGGGGGCCGCTGAGAACTGCGTGCGACGGTGCCCAGTTCCTCGAAGGAAGTTCCATTGTGCAGGTGTCTCACAGCGTGGCAAAACCTGGGGGGCACGTGTCGGGGCACATGGATTTCAAAAGCAACACGGTGTCTGCGCCCATTGTGTCAAGCCAGAAAGTGCTACATCAGTGAGCAGCAGCGGGAGCGACAGAGAGAGACAAAGAGACTCGGGCAGGACGGGATACAGGATTCCTGTGAAGCTGCATCCTTGTCTCAACAGTCGAGCACATTGCAACCCCACTGCTACATTCTTGGTCTGCTGGCGGGATCTCGGCAGAGCCCACTTCCTTGGAGAGCAGCGAGGTTGCCTGAGCCAGGAACAAGCAAAACCCGCGCCACCCCTTCAACTTTTGGCGCAGCCCTGAGCCCGAGGCGGACATGTCGGAGAAGGGCAGCGGCCTGGGCTTTCCAGAACAGCAGCTCCGGAGTGTCCTTACACACTAACGGCAGAAAACTAGACGAAGCCCGGCGGCTCGCTGCCCTGGGCTTTGCGGACCCATCGAATAACCTGGCCGGGACGGCTGCTCTGCGCATTTCGCCCTGGCTATTTCTACGTGGTACCGTATCGGCCTCTTCACAGGCAACCAGCTCCTCGCCTCGGTCAAGTCTGAAGTTCAAGGTGGAGAAAGGCCACATGCCTGCATTTCCATCGCCGGCCTGGGGGGGACCAGGCATCCGCATCCTCGCCTCCCGCTGAGATGTGCGTAAAGCCTAGTCGCAGCTCATCTCCAAGAAGCGCGCGGAGTGCAGGGGTCGCCTGAGGCCCGCGCCTTGGCCGCGTGGCCCATCGCCCGGCTTGGGAACCCCCGTGCGAATTCGCTCCTGCTGCCTTCAGAGACATGACTGCGGTCTCTGAAGATCTCTGAAGTCTCCGACGTGTAAGGTATGATGCTGCAGACGACAACTGGCCTTTTCATCCACCTCTGCAGCTCTTCCACTGCCACCGTCCCGCTGGTTCCACCAATCAGCAATGCCATGGTGAAAGCCAGGGCGGAGTTGGCATGCGCGAGGACACCTCGCATTCTCGAGACGTCCCTTCTGCTTAGCCCTCAGCTCCGAAGCTCTGGCTCACAGTTTCTGAAACCCAGCCATCTGCTGTTTATGCAGCTATTATACGCGCAAAAGACATTTATTCTCCATAGTTGTCTAATCCAGAAGTGGCACGGCTTGGGTGCGACAGCCGCGCATCCTCGTTTGCAAAAGCCGCGGCCTCCAATCATTCAGAATGCATCAGGCTCAGAGTAACTGCTCATCAATCATGTCCTGAACATCGTGCCGGGGCAAACGCTGATTGAAATGGCATGCAGCAGCCAGTCAAGGCCCCGTGAACGCAAATGGGCCTTCTCCGGTGACTTTAGCGCTGCGCCCATCACCGCCACGGCTGCACACCTGATTCAAGCAAAGGCTGCCCGCAGCTTAACAAATGCCAAAATTTGAAAGCATGCCCTCTGAATCCAAGACTCTTTACGCCTTACGAGACCTCAAAACTCAACAGGCTAGTGAAGTGCTGTGGCAAAGCCCAAGCCGACCTGACAAGTGCTCCGCTGCTGAGCGACTTCTGGTTCACCTCCGCACGATTCGCCGAAAGGCCGAAAGCTTGGTGCATATTTGGACTTCCAGCCTCACGGGCTCGTTCGGCCATCGCGTCGGGAGGCAGTGGACGATGGAAAACCTCACGTCGCAAAATGATGTTCTAGCAGCGGTTCGTGACATCGTAAGCTGCTATGCTAGAAACCATGGCGTCATGAACATCATGACACTGCACTACTCGCGACTCCACCCATCAAGCCGTCCTTTCCCAAGCCTGCAAGCAGGCGCGATCTGCCCGGAAGGGGTGTGTCTTGCCCCATCGGCCATAGCGAACGGCCACGTCCTCGCTGAGTCGAATGATTAACCCTGTCTTGCCAGCTCAGCCTCGTCTTCTAATTTTACGCATACGCTGCCTTCAGCTATCTCCAAAACATCACTCGGGTGACTCACACATACACACAGCGGAAATGGGAAAGCATGGAACATCATGGAACTGAAAATTGGCGAGAACACTGGCACCCCAAACGATTTTGGCTTTGGTTTGTGCAAGAATATGTAGTCACAGAAGGCGGGACCCGGATTGAAGCAGGAACATCGCCAAGAACGAGAGCACCTACAACACCTCAGCCTTCTCAAACTGCCTGGTCCCCGACATTAAGTGCTCCTCACACGGGAACACCGATCCCTCCGCATCGGCCAGCGCCTCCGTGGAAGGGCTTGCGGATGTGAGCAGCTCGGATTGCATTCAAAGGCAAGCAAAGGTTCGCGGCAGATGAAGGCATCAGCATTCGTGTGATCTAAGCTTGACCTGCACCCAAAGAGAGCCACAAATTCGCTCGCCATCAGCTCCGTTTTCCAGTCTCGTCATCTAGAGCCGAACCTCCAGAAGTGCGCGATGTGACCCTTCCCCAGTCAAGAGAAATCCAAGCCTCGATTGAAACCTCGTGGTCTCCAGCCCCGACCGCAAAGAAATGGATCTTGCGAACACAAGGCCTCCGCCAAACACAGCAGCAGCTCTGTGTGACCAGTCACCTTAGTCCAAGAGCTGCCTTTGAGTTGTTTCAACACGCTCTGTTCTTCTGGCATAGTGGCATTATGCTCACCATCCTCCTAGTACATTTCTGTGCCGCGGCACCTGTCCTGGGGCAACTGTCCACAGACCGCCACCGCACATCTCCAGCGCCTGTCGCTGCTGAGCAGCAGTACTCTGCGACTGCAAGCAAAGAGACTCAGCACTACACTGCCTGCATTTCGATACTCCCAGAGCCTTGTCCACCTCGAAAGCGTTGACTGCCATCGGCTCCTGCAAAACAAGGTTATACAAACAACGGCAAAAAATCTGAGAACAGCAGGCAACACATCGTGCCTGCCCCCCCAGTGGCGCGCCCAAAGCGTCCCCAGCAGCAGCCCCAAGGCAGGCACCCAGAGCGGCAGCGCCGGCTGTGCCCTCAGCCGGGAGCCTGAGAGAGCTTTGTGTGTGTGTGTGTGTGTGTGTACGTTCGTCGTCTTCGTGGAGACATCGTCGGTGAAAATGCGTTCAAGCCGCTCGCTCAGAGCAGAATGGCCCCTGCCAGCCCACCATACCATGGCCCACACCTCGGAGGATAAACAAGCAACCGGCTGCGCCGCGAGCGTCAGAACGTTGCTCCTAATTTCAACGCTGCCGCAGATCCGTCTGCAGTGTCCGGCTCTTGGACTCTTGGCAGGGATAGCAATCTTGACATCCGGGGCACCCTTTCAAGAATGTCCACATTTGGTCTTCCCAGCTGCAGAACGTCCTGGCCAGGGGTAGCTTTACAGCTACCGGCTAGCGGACAGTTCAGTCTCTGAAGGACCTCGCCCTCCGGGGTGGAGATCCGCTCAAAACCGGCCACGCGGAGAAGCGCGATGGCAGGCATGACCTTCGAAGCAGCAAAATCGAGCCGCAGCTGCAAACAAGGCTGCCGCTGATGTCTAGGTGGCGACTTGTCTTTGATTGAAGTGGCTGAGTGGACCGAAATCTGGAGGGACAGATAGGGAAACGGGAAACGAGCGACGAATGCAAAGATGTTCCCTGCCACACACGAGAACCCACCCTTCTCCAATTTGCCACGCATGGCAGACGTCCGTTGGGCCTTCTGGCCGGAAGCTTTGCTCAGGTTGATGCACCTGCAAAGCACAGTCGCTCAAGGGGGCTGTGAAACGTCTTACGCTGGAGATGGCCTGTATTTGTCGTTGTTAGGATACCGTCGGATGTTGTCCAAAATACGTTCCTCGGTGAACCAGTGGCATATGCTCCTAACTCCCATCAGGGAGTCTCATCGTTGCTCCTCTCGGCAAGGCCCGAAACTCGTCTTCTGCAGACTTACAGTGCGACCACAAGAACGCGATGATGATGTCGCGAGCTCTTGCAACGCAGCACAGGAAGTTCAGTGCTGAGACCCCGACTAAAAGCTTCAGGACTTCGTCGCCACCTGCAAAAACTCGCGTCTCAGGTGCCGCACAAAGGCAAAGGCAGGGAGACACAGCCAGAATGAACATGCACGGGTCATGCCGCTGCTGAGTAATAGCTCCGGAGCAGCACAGAATGAACTCTCTCCGAAAGATGCCGGCAGGATGTCCGACTCAGGACCTTGTACTTGCACTCTCCTGCTGGCCGGACCCGGATCGAGCCTTCGCTTCGGGCCACTTGTGCCAGCACGTCGTACGCCTCTGAACCATCCCAACCGCACAAAGCTGTGCAAGCCAGCGTACTGAGATTTTCGGCCACGACGAGACAGCTTTCACTTCGCTGAAAGTGAGAAGCAGCCTGAATTCCTCCAGAGCCCCTCGTGGCCGTGGCATAGCCTGCCGACGAACGAATAGCGTCAAGGAGGAAGTAATGCTAATATCTTTATATACAGGCCAACCTACATCTGTCAGCATGTAGCTACGTAGCATGAGTTCAGACAAGTACACTGCACACAACGAAGGTTCAAGAGCCCGTTCAGGCCGTCCTGATTTTCTAGAATCGCAAGGGCATCAGCGCACGATATCATGCGCTTGTGAGCTACATGAAACCTGTAATCCAATCGGATGATTGCAAGTAAGTTCGGCATGGTGCCAAATTCCGTCGCCGGGATATCCCTGTAGTCAGTCAAGAGGTCAGCAACTCTCAACTTTCGTTGTTCTTACAATGCAGATCTTCTACATGTATTCATCTTCCTACTGATTTCTCATCTATAACATCTTTTTCCACCAACGTTGCCACCCACTGTTCTTTCCTCAGGTATGGGACTCTTTGTTTCTCTGCCTGTCGTGCCTTTGTCCAGGGTAACACCGAGAGGTTCCCAAAACCGGGCGAGAGAAACGGATAGCTGCTACCTATTTGGGAGTTTCCGAAAATAGGGGGGGTACCTTATTTTGAAGTTCTTATAGTAAGGATCCTATTATTTAGGGTACTATATTAGGGTCCCCTATTTTCGGAAACCCCCATTTCAAGCTTTGGCATCAGCCTTAGGCTGGTGTCTCTCGTTGGTACTCTGATTGTTATTCTGTTATTCTTTCTGGACATTGTCATTGCTCGCTGTATTTTAACAAGAACATCAAGGCTTCAAACAAACTACAACTGCTGCTTTGCCGATGCTGCCGTCTGCTATCAGTAGAAAAGCCACCACTGACTCTCGCCGAAGATTCCCATCTACATGCAACGTGTTCAACGAATTAATTCCTGCCCCGCCCCAGTCCATCGACCCTTCCACATGCATACTTGGTGGTATGCGGCTTGTTGTGGTTGCTGCGAGAAAAGAGCACGTCTTGGGAGGTTCCTACCAGGCTCACGCTTCTGTTCGGTCATCTTGGCAAGTCTTCGACACGGGGGGCCGAACTAGTCTGATTTGTGCGAACGCCATAAAGATAAAGGAAATAAAAAAACAGATTACGGTAATATTACGTTTTAAGTTTTGAAGTAGGTGTATCCTCTGTTCGCAGCTTGACCTTCTCACCAATCTGGTTCTCGTTTTCCAAAGTTGGATCAGCTCTTCCATTCGTTCGAAGTGAAGGAGTAGCGGCTTCTTGTTTCGCAGGTCAACATCACCGACGACGGACTTCGCAGTGCAAGCATCATGCTTAACG